TCTGTTTCATTCTGTGGTGCATAGATTCACTATGAGGCAGACAGACTCGGCAGAACCTAACAACTATAACATTTGCTTCAAAATGATGAGCCAGTCAACTGAAACCCTGTGGAGCACAAGTCTACACATGGCGTCACCGTAAGTCTAATTCAAATCCACTGTAACTGGAAAAGCCCTAGGATGATACCCTATCCATAAGATTTGCTTGGCATTACTAAGCCTTTCCCAAGAAGGCCTTCAGTAAAGACCATCAGTCTCCTTTAGGAACTGCAGAATTGTGGTTGCCAGGTAGATCATCAACCCAAAGAGCAATCCCAGCCCAGTCCTCATGAGTTTATTACATACGTAGTTGGTGTAAATCAACAAAAACAACAGCTACAACAATATCAACAGAATAATTGGTTCAGTTCTAAAAGAGAAGACTCGATCTTGGATAACTGCATGCCCTCCCTGGTGGCATAATGGGTTTCGCTCTGGACTGCTAACCACAAGGTCAGCAGTTGGAATCTACTAGCTGCTCCACTTGGAGGAAGAAAGACGAGACTATCTGTTCCTGTAAGGATTTACAACCTCAGAAACCCACAGGGGCAGTTCTATCCTATAGAGTCAATCAACTCAATGAAAATGGGTGAGTTATTCTTAATACAGAGTAGACTCGGTAAAAAAGGAATCGTTTTGACTTGCAGAGGTCTAGCTGAGGCTGAAAATGTGACTGGCACCCAGAGAGTGGCAGAACTTAAGGAGACTCTCCGGTAGGTGGAAGGATGAGTGTAGGTAGGAATGCATAAAACCTAGGAGAAACGAATGGCTGATCCATTTTTCTGGAGAAAATGCCTCTTCTTGCTCCATACCATCTTTCCTCTCAGCTAAATTATATTTACTTTATTGTGATTGTCAAGAATATGCACAGCAGAACATATGCTAACTTAATTTCTACACATGTGATTTAGTGACATTGGTTACATTCTTCTCTGAGTTGCTTCTACCTGGTTAACATAAATTCATGTCCCCCTACATTTCCTATCCAATCTTTCAAGTGGATGTCAATTTGATCCCATATAGAAGTTCTTAAAAGAGCATAATCCGCAAGGCACACAGTTCTTACCAGTTAGTGGGAACTATTGCTTGGTTTGAGGAATGCTAGTGGTGTCGTGATTAGGAATTGGGCTATGATCTGTGAGGTCAGCAGTTTGAAATCACCAACTCTTCCTCAGGAGAGAGACAGGGCTTTCTCCTCCTCAAAATAGTTTCAGTCTCAGAAATCACAGGGGCTCTTCTACCCTGGCCTTTCAGGTCACTATGAGCTGCCATTGGCTTGATGGTAGTGAGTTCTATTACCTCAGGATCTTGCATGTAATCAAAGAACCAAAAGGCTGGATTCTAGGTGTGTGTGTGTGTGTGTGTGTGTGTATATATGTGTGTATGAAACAGAGAAAGACAGAGAGAAACAATGGTATTCCTGACCATTGCTGACCAGGAGTAGAGTCTCAAAGTCACACTTTTGCAGTTCACCATGGATAGAGAGACTAGCGAACACAGTGGGTGGACGGAGGAGAAAGGCAGTGGGACCAGAGAAAGAGAGAGAGAAAGAAGGACCAACAGACACAAACCCAGAGAATTGCCATAAGACCCTTCAACAAGGCTGGGCATGCCAAGCCCCTTGATTGCCCTTTGTCATGATGGATTCTTGTGCAGTCCATTTTTAATAAAATATTAAATATTGATATTAAATGAAAAGGGAAATGTTATTTATTAATAATGATAAAATCCCATCTCCTCCCAAGAATATTTCCTCTGTATACTCATAATACTAGAAGTCCCACCCATAACATTGGGCAAATGCAAAACTTCCCAAAGATCAGGCAGACATGAGTTTGAACCTCAGTTATGCCACATAATAGGGTTTGATCTTGTTCATGATCCAGTCATAGATCAAATCAACCAACCAACCACCCATCCTCCATCCACCAATCCACTGATTTCATTCCATTTAAGAATTTAAAGAATTGAAAGTGGCTGAAGAAGTGAGTTAAATTTGCTTCCAGTTTCCCTGTCTATAAAGGGTATAGCAGCTCCTCACTTGTGATACTCAGTTGATTAAAAAAAAAAAAAAGGATGAGACATGCCGAACTCCATGCCCATCAGTGACTGACTCTCAGTAATCAGCACATTATCTACTGCTCCGGCTACCATTTCTCACCATACATATGCACACACTCACGCACATACACAGAAGTTTTAAAAATAAATTGTGAAAAAAGATATCTTTAATATGCACATACACATATACTATACATGCACATCCACAATCATGGAGACTTTAAAAAGCTTGTGGAAAAATGTAAGTGAAAGAAATGGAATTTGTCTATAACTGTTGGGAAGCTTGCTCATACACATACCACCATATATACACTTACATGTGTATGTATACACACACACACACACACACACACCAGGGGCATCAAAACATTTGTGGGACAATTATCTTTTTTTTGTAAATGAAATATTTAATAACTGGTATAAATGCTACTAATTGCTATCAAATCCATTCTGACTCATAGCAATTCCATAGGCTAGAGTAAAAATGCCCCATTGGGTTTTCAGGGCTATACTTTTTCAAAAAATCATTTTATTTGGGCCTCATATGACTCTTATCACAATCCATCGATCCATCCATTGGGTCAAGCATATTTGTACATTTGTTGCCATCATCATTCTCAAAACATTTCCTTCTACTTGAGCTCTTCGTATCAGCTCATTTCCCCCTCTTTCCCAGACCCTTCCTCCCTCATGAACCCTTGACAACTTATAAGTTATTATTTTTTCAAGTCTTACACTGTCCGATGTCTCCCTTTACCCACTTTTCTGTTGTCCATCCCCCAGGGAGGGGGTTATATGTAGAACCTTGTGATTAGTTCCTGCTTTCTCCCCCACCTTCCCCTTCCCCTCCTGGTATTGCTATTCTCATTATTGGTCCTGAATGCTTTATCTGTCCAGCATTCCCTGTGTTTCCAGCTCTTATCTGCACCAGTGTATACACTATGGTCTAGCCAGATTTGTAAGGTAGAATTGGGATCATGATATTGGGGGAGAGGAAACATTAAAGACCTAGAGAAAAGTTGTATGGTTTCATTGGTGCTACACTGCACCCTGACTGGCTCGTCTCCTCCCCGGACCCTGCTGTAAGAGGATGTCCAGTTGCCTACAGATGAGCTTTGGGTCTCCACTCTGCATTCCCCCTCATTCTCAATGATAAGATTTTTTTGTTCTTTTATGCCTGATACCTGATCATAAATCTTTTTTTTAAAAAGTCATTTTACTGGGGGCTCATAAAACTCTTATCACAATCCATCCATCCATCATTGTGTCAAGCATATTTGTACATCTGTTGCCATTATCATTCTCAAAATGTTTGTTTTCTACTTGAGCCCCTGGTATCAGCTCCTCATTTTTCCCCCTCCCTCCCCACTCACCCTTCCCTCATAACTCGCCCTTCCCTCATGAATCCTTGGTAATTTATAAATTATTATTATTTGTCATATCTTACACTGTCTGACGTCTCCCCTCACCCACCTTTCTGCTATCCATCCCCCAGAGAGGAGGCTATATGTAGATCCTTGTAATTGGTTCCCCCTTTCTACCCCACTTTTGCTCTACCCTCCCGGTGTCACCACTCTCACCACTGGTCCTGAGGGATTCATCTGTCCTGGAGTCCCTGTGTTTCTAATTCCTATCTGTACCAGTGTACATCTTGTGGTCCAGCCGGATTTGTAAGGTAGAATTGGTGTCATTAGTTGTGGGGAGTAAGCATTTAAGAACTAGAGGGAAGTTGTATATTTCATCATTGCTATACTGCACCCTGACTGGCTTGTCTTTTACCCACGACCCTTCTGTAAGGGGATGTCCAGTTGCCTACATATGGACTTTGGTTTCCCAATCTGCACTCCCCCTCATTCACTATGATATGATTTTTTGTTCCTTGATGCCTAATCCCTGATCCTTTTGACACCTTGTGATCACACAGGCTGGTGTGCTTCTTCCATGTGGGTTTTGTTACTTCTGAGCTAGATGGCCACTTGTTTACCTTCAAGTTTTAAGACCCCAGGCATTAGATCTTTTGATAGCTGGGCACCATCAGCTTTCTTCACCACATTTTCTTATGCACCCATTTGTCTTCAGTGATCGTGTTCTTGCATTGAGGGAGTACTTGAGTGGAAACCCAATGTCCATCCGCTACCTTAATTCTAAACCTGTAAATATATGCACATACATCTATTTCCCCATCATCATAAATAAGTATACTTACATATGTACATACCTATATTTAGACCTCTATAAATGCCCTTTACCTTCTAGTTCCTTCATTATCTTTTAATTCCATTTTCCACTAGTTCTTTGACTCCCCATTTGTATGTGCATGTACCCGATCATGGGTGTGCATGTGTGGTGCCTGCACAAACACTGTCTCTACTCTAACCATGAATATTTATGTCTTATTCCCAACCAGCGCATAACATTTGCAGAGAAACAAACAAACTATACCTCATACTGCATAGCCTGGGGTTGCACACATAGTTCAATAAGATTTTTTAGTTTGTTGACATATTCAGATAGCTGCCAGTATTTCTGCATCTCTCTTGTTCTTGTTCTGTGGGTTTTTAAAAATTTTTTATTAAGCCCTGGTGTCTTGGGAATATAGACCATTAGCCACCAGATGCACTATTCATGTAAGATTTGGGGGGAGGGGATTCTCCTCAAAATTCATGGGCTCAGAGAATTTGGCCTGTTCTGCTGAAGTATGAGCAATCCCCCAACCCTCCCCTATGCCCAGGCCAGCCCCCGGGGAGCCCTCAGTGAAGATAAACTGGAGAAGTAGCAGCCATTCAGTGTGACCCAGCTTACTGGGCCCAGCCAAGGTTATTCCTGGGCCACAACCAGATGGTAGAGCTCTTGATCTGTTCCCATCCCCTTCTGCAAATGTCCTGTACCAGCTGCTTTACCTGCTGTAAAGGGGGGCATGTGCAGAGCAGGTGTGTCTTTTCTCCTGGGCTTTTTCTGTTCCAGGTCCGTGTTATGAAGGGCTGGACTCATCTTGTTCTTTGGATGTCTCCCTTGGACATCATATCTTTTTAGTAAGTGCTCTGAAAGCATGCCTGCAGGATTAGGGGAAGAGAGGGGGGGCGTCAATGGCATATCTCCTAAGATTTGAAGACGAGGCTATTTTCAGTCACCTGAAAAGCGGGTGGAAGTTGGATAGGGACTAAGGCAGACCAAAGAAGAATGGGTGCGTTTGAATTACAGTGCTGGTGAAGAATATTGAAAGTACTGCCTAAAGGACAAACATCTGTCTTGGAAGAAGTATGGCCAGAAGGCTCTTTAGAGACAAGGATGGCAAGACCTCGACCCGCATACTTTGGACAAGTCGTCAGGAGAGACCAGTTCTTGGAGAAGAGCATCATGCTTGGTGAAGTGGAGAGGCAGTGAAAAGAAAGATGGATTGACACAGGGGCTGCACCAATAAGCTCAAACATAAGAACAATTGTGAGGATGGCCCAGGACCGGGCAGTGTTTATTTGTTACACATAGGTTAACTATGAGTTGGAACTGACTCCAATGCAGCTGACAACAACAACCACAACAATGCCCGTATGTAAGGTGCCCTGGTGATGCTGCACTTCAGGCATTTGGTTGCTAACTGGAAGGTTGGCAGTTCAAACCCACTAGGCACTCTGTGGGAGAAAGATGTGACTGTTCCTCCTGAGAAGGTTGACTATCTCAATAACCCTATCCATGGACTCTCCAAGTTAGAATCGGCTTGTTAGTAATAGATTTGGTTTGGTTTATGTCCTGATATATTTGCCCATCTACCTGTGAAGCAGGCTGTATAATGTAACTTTTCAAATCTATTTAATTAGAAGTTTCTTTATAGCAAGACTGAGCACACATGACGGCTACTTTATGGACCCTGCTTTTTGCAAAGGGTTTTACGTGTATGATTTAATTTCAGTTTCACAAAGCCTTGAGTGATTTAATATTTCTGGCACTATCAACTATTGGAGTGAAAAATGAGCCCAAGTAAAGTTAAGAAACGTGCCTAAAGCAACACGGAGCATGGATTCAGAGACAGGACTTGGGCCCAGATTTCCTTTCTCAAGAGACTTTTCTCTCAGTCAGGCATGGCCATTTGATTTTCAATAATCCAGCTGCTCCCTGTTTCCACTCTGATGGCTCAGCATGCTCCTCTCCACCCATGATCCTCTTGCCTCTATTTGACATGTAAAGCTTTTCCCACCATTTAAGAAATCTACAGAAATCTTCTCTAGAAAACACACCACGATTCACTCTTCAGATGCACTCCTTACTTTTCACTGCACGTGTCAGCTACAGCTGCACTGCTGTTATTTATTGATGTTTACGGAGTCTGCTGGTGGCGCAAACAGTGGAACTGCTCGGCTACTACCCACAGATTTGGAGTGCATGTCCACCCAGAGGCACCGTGAGCTGGCCGTCTCCAACTGAAGACGCTGGAGCCATTGAAAATGCTGGGGAGCAGTTCTACTCTGTGTGGGGTCCCCAGGAGTCTGGAGTTGAATTGACAGCAACAGGGTTTATTTTGGTTTATTTCCTACGGGACTGATTTCCCAAGGAGACCTGTGTTTCCTTATTCTGTACCATTCACAGCGTATCAGAGTGAGGACATCCGTAAATGATCAGGGAAGGAAGGAAGGAGAAAAGGAAGCAAAACTTCTGGGAATTGGAGTCACCAGTCATGTCCAAGGGTGTGGAAGACATGTTCATTGTATAGAAAGTTGATTTGCTTTTCTCCTGGGCCCATGGGGAGGTTACCTTTCAGCCAGTGGAGACCTTCTAGTTGGGCACTACTCCCAGGACTGGCCACATCAACCCCGTGAAGCCTCCACTCCGTCAGCCCCAGGTCTGCTGGATATTGATGTTCATGCTGACTGACTTTGGACACCATTTGCTTGTGATGTCAGACCCTCCCTTAGTCTGGGTCCCGGAGTGACTGTTTGGAGGCCTGCCTCTTTCAGTTCCCAACTATCCCTATTGGTGGGAGAAACAGACTCTTATGTGAAGCCGTGGAAACTTCAGAATAGATTTGTTATGGTGACCATCTGTAGGATAACCAATACTAAGGCGAAAGTCTGTAATCATTAAACAAATAGCAAACTATTTAAAGGAAAAGCTATAAAAACCAATATGATTGAGTGCCTTTGATTTTCCTGGCCCCGTGTGCAAAGTGAGCTCCTGGCCCATTACCTGGTATAAAAGGAGGGATGTGCAGGGCCGGCGTATCTTTTCTTCTTGGTTTTTTTTGGTCGGAGTCTGCATTCAGGGTGACTTGGGCATTTTTCCCCTTCCTCGGCTTCTTTTTGAGATCACAGTCTTTAATAAACTGGTCTGAAAGATCATCTGCTGGGGCAGGATGTACAAAGAGTCAGTGTGAATAACAATTCAGTCACACATTGGATGGCTTCCAATTACATCGTTACATACGATAAGGCTAGAAAACTAGATACCATATATACTTGATTATAAGCCGGCCTAACTATCCATGGAGGCACCGAATTTTACCACAAAAGCTGCATTAAAAATGTGCTGAAAAGCTCAGCTTATGCTCGAGGATATGCGGTAACAATTTTGGCCTCTTTCAGTGTGGTCTTCAGTTATCTTGCAGGCATTCAATAGCCCCAACCTACGGCTGTCGGGTGGATTCCAGCTCGGAGAGACCCTATGGGACAAGGCCAACCTGCTCCACGGGGCTTCCAAGACTGTTGTCTTCCACCTCTCTCCCATAGAGCACCCATTGGGAAGGGACACAGATATGCTGTGTGCAGTGAATCTTCTGTTACGTGCCAAAGCATTCTTATCCGGAAACTCTAAGGCTAGCCAGAGGGCAGTCTGGCTCTGTCTATAGGTATGAATGAATAGGAGGAAATGAAGATATTATTTGACATTTTCAGCACCTCCAGCTCCCCATCCTCCAAACTCTTTCTTCTCTCCTTCTCTCTTTAATGATCTCTTTTTCCTTTAGAAAATACCCCAAATTTTGAAATATTCTTTAAGACATGGAGAAATAATGATAAATCAGTGTTAAATCCCATCTCTTTGGTTTTGTGAGTCTACATATAACCATAGCATACACTTATTTGTTCAGTAAATGTTATTAAATATTCAGTAAATTAAAAAACTCAGCTCCTCTTGTATGCCAATTTTTGTGTGGGGGTCCATGGATAAAAGGACAGATTAGGAAATGGCCTTCAATTTATAGATAATTGATTGGGCTTTATGCCTAGGAGTTCCTTATTGTAGACTCCCCATCATGCATAAGGAACCCATCCTTAGAGGCAGTCAGTACCATCACCCTTACTCCTGCATCATCCAAGGATTGTCATACTTAACCCCCCCCCAAAAAAAAAAAATCAAAGGGCAATTGTGCTCTTCAGCCACTTTTAGTGACAATAAATGTTCCCTTTCACCTAAACTCACTTTGCTTTCATTCAATCATGTCGATTTAATAAACTTTTAAGTTGAGATGGAACCATGTGAAGTGAAGTGTGCATTGTAAGGCAGCGAAGTTTGTACTAGTGAGTTTACAGGCACTCCAGAAACAGGGAGGGCTGAGGGTGAGTTTACTGATCGCCACCTATGTCTTAGGTGGCTTCATATACACGAAGGATTCCTCATGGTGTTGTGGGCTAGGTGCTGGCCTGCTAACTGCAGGGTCAGTAGTTCTAACCCACCAGCCACTTGCCAAGAAAACGACAAGGCTTTCGGGTCTCCCAAAGATTTACAATCGCAGAAACCCTGTACAGGGTCACTGTGAGTGGACATGAACTCAATGGCAGTGGGTTTGTTTCAGGTTTGTTTTCCACCTTGTGGGATGGACCAACATCTTTCCTGGTTTGCCAGTGCCTGTGCTTTACCAACTGGGAAACCTTTAAAATACCACTGCTGGATATGTTATCTCATGAAACCCGCACAATAAGCCCATAAGGAAAGTATACGATTATCCTCAATTTGTAGTTGAGGATATGGAAGCTCAGAAGGCCAAGAGAGAGGCTGAAGATTAAATTGTTGACAGTTGATGGGGTTGGGATCCAAGCCAGGCTCTAGGGGCTTTGCAGCTTTACATCTGTGTGAAAAAACCCTGTTTTGAGAATGTGCTTCTGTGTAGCACAGCCATCCTTACCTCAGTTTCACAGACCATAGGCAATTGTCAAGTGACGGACTCAGTGGATGGATGGGTGGACCACTGAAATGAAATTCAGGATAAATGCTGCCCAGCTGTGGGTTCTTTAGCGATGCAGGCCTAACCTAGATTTATCATGGGTCACTTTGATCGCAAGATCCTAGGCAGAGAGCAAGATTTTCTGCTTCAATTCTGGCTTTTATTTCAATTGGCACTTTTCCCCACTTTTTGAGAAATCCTGGAACATAAAATATCTTGATGGCAAGTGGGGAGAGGGGAGTGGAGGGGGAGGCATAACCAGACGAGCCATAAACAAAGGCTATGAATATGCAAAAGACTCATCTATCAAAAGTCTGAGTGTCTCATTTTTAGAAATGGGAAGCAGCAGAAATGTTTCTGGTATTTTCATTACAAAGGTTATGTAAAAAGTCAGTTGTGGAAAGGAAACAGATTGACAATAAAGCAGAAAAAGGCTACTTAAAATTCTGTCTTGATAGGCAAAGAGAGATATTTGAAATATTTTATTGGCGCCGCACATGGGGTGTCGGAGTGCCTGGAAAATGTTAGAAACCAGCTCCACCACCAGCTTTCATGTTATTGCCTCAGGACAGCTCTGCCAGGCACGCTGACAGAGCTGGAAATGAGGACCATGCCCTCTCTCGTCCTTTTTAACCCTGATGAACCTCCCTCCAGTGCTTCTGCTAACATTGACGTGGCAAACCTCACAGACCCCTGGCTGTGTGCCTGTCCATCTGGTGCTGGCTGACACCAGAAGGCTCGGCCTATCACGTTTCAGAGGGGTTCCCTCCGAGCGGCCTGTACACCCCCTTTCTGACGCCCACCGCTGACCTTCACACTGGAACATTTACCTAAATGGCTGCAGCGAGGGTCCAGCGTGTCCAGTCTGTCTTCTGAGAGCTTCAGGGGCTGCATTTGCTCGGTTGACATCATCCAAAGAGGGGAGGCACGAGCAGTGCTTCTCTAGCGCTAGCGAAGTATACGGGCCCATTAGCGTGCCGTATATTGACAAAATGAACACACATACTGAGCATTTGCTTATTATGACTTACTTATGAGCATCCTTCTGATGCTCCTATGCTTCAAGTCAGCTTCTGAGACTTAGCTACTCAAAACCCCAAACTCCACTGATGTGGAGTTCATTCCAATGCATAGTAACTCGGGGGTTTACTTGGCCATGAATCTTTACAGAAATAGGCAGTCACATCTCCCTTCCATGGTGTGACTGCTGTGTGCAAACTGCCTGTCATTTGGTTGGCCAGCAAGTTCCTTAACCATTGCACCACCAGCACTCCTACTTTAAAGTTATTAGAAGCTTAAACCTTGGTATTTAAACTAGAGCACAATTAATCTCTCTCACACACACACATACACACACAGCCATTATTGGCAATCGTCATTTAGCAAATGTTTAGTATTTACTCTCTCTCAGAGGTTCTTTGGAACTTTCAGACCATTGTCAAGTCTGAATTAGAATGACCTCGTTAAGTCCAGTGTAGGAGTGGGTTACTCCTTGAGCTGCTAACCACAAAGTCAGCAGTTCAAATTCACCAGAATTCCCTCCTAGGGAGAAAGAGGAGACTGTCTGTTCTCATGAAGATTTAGTCTCAGAAATCTAGCGAGCAGCTCTCCTTTGTCCTGTTGGGTCACTGTGCATCAGAGTCCACTCTATGGTAGTGGGTTTAACTGAAATTACAGAAAATTGAGATTAGAATTTGCCTGCATTATCACTTTCATGTTTTGCGAGGTAAAATTATGCCCACTTCATAGATAAGTGTTTCCTAGCAGGTGTTACTACCCCTTGTGAGATGATATGCTGGAATGATCCGGGCAGGAGCTGTGAAAGCAGATACCTACACTTTATCGTGGACTATGGGCTATAGTACATTTTTAGTTGTCAAATGAATGCTAAGTTTTTCATTGTTGTTGTTGTTTTTTTCCTGAAAAGGGGCAATAGGCCAAACAAGTTTGGAAACCAATGTCATAGATAAAGAAACTGTGACTCAGAAAGTTAATTAAGTGATTTAATCATACCTCTATTAAATAGCCAAGTCCTGGATACAAATTCAGTGCTCCTGAATTCCATTAAATAGCCAAGCCTCTTAAAAAAAATGGGGATCTTTGGAACCAGAATTAAGCCAGCCTTCTGATTCCCTCCTGTTACATCCTATGACTATAAATAATGAGGATCCCTAGCCCCCATCACCACCCCATTCAGCTACCCACGGTGGCAGAGACGTAGGAGGAGGACATCGAGGTCTACAGTGGAGCCCGATGATGGCTCTCCCTGGAGATTCTGACCTTCAGGCATCAGTCATCCTGGGACCACCCGCCCATTGAACTTTCCTGAGCTATTCGTTGTTGCCGTTGTCCAGGAGTGCAAATCCAGTGTAAACACTTGTCAGCTCTGAGATTGATAGGAAATCTTTAGAGTCTGCTTAGATTGTCTCTTGAGTTTCTTTCAGATAATTTATTATTTATGCCCTACCATAGCAAAGATGGTTGGAGAGGAATTAATCAGAGTAAAATGGTACAATTGATGCTCTTCTCTTGAGATTCCTAGGCCACTGGCATACAGATGAGCCCTTCCCCCCCCCTCCACCAGTTGTGATAACATTTCAAGCTCGTAGAATTAGTCTAACACTCAATTGTCTTCTGGGGAATGAGCCAGTCTTCTTTGGGAAGGCCGGAGGGCCTCTCTCACTCACGCTGAGATCACGGCATAGCAGATGGAGCCATTAACTGATCACTCGAGTCTGGCTTTTACTGTCACTTTGAGCAGACGGATTGTTCTGAGTGACTTCGGCAGAAATCAGTTTAGACTATTGTGCTCAGCTTATGTAGGAAGCCATTGCCAACTCTACAAGAAAGTATGCTGTTCACTTGGTGTGGGCTAATCCCCACCGATGGAGTGGAGGGAAAGGACATCGGGATTAATCACAATGACCACAGATTAAATCCTACCTGCATGGTGAAGCTCTGTCTATAATTCAAAGGGCCTTAAAAATGATCGACTCGTAGTTTTCACGTCGTTGCTGAAACATGGGAGGCCCAGCTCTTACCTGAGCAAAACAGCTATGGCAATGCCAGCCCATGGGAGCCGAACTGGGCCAAGATGAGTTGGACAGGCTGCAGGTCTCTGGACCAGGTGAGGGCAAAACTGACCCACATCTCCTTTACCAGACAGGTCATCTTGTCTGAGGGGGACAGTGCTATTTTAAATCCCTGTGATAAGCAAAATGATGACGGCATATCGCCGAGTCTCCGTTTCACTCGGGGGCTGAGAGATCACCTCCAGAGTTTGGATTTTACACTCAGAAAATATCGCAGGCTGGGCCAGGCTATGATTTCCCCCTGGAGAGTGGAAGAGACTCCCGTCACGGATGACGTTATGACGGCGTTCTAGGCAGGAAGGCTGCACGCAAAGAGCAGCGCATGTGCATGGGGGAGGGGCACCTGGAGTGCTGCATCATCTGTCATTGTCGCTATACCTGCCTGTTGAGTGTTTGCACAAGAGCACCCCGTCTCCCTGCCCGCGCCCCATGTCTACACTCCATGAGAAGGAATAATCCTTTACCAGCTAACCATCGTAAAACACAGGCTGGTCTCATCCTTGAACTAAGAAAGGCAATGGGTTCGTTTCCTCTTCCCAGCTTTACTTTGCGTGTGCTCTTCTTATTTTATTTCACTGGCTTCAAAACCATTTTATTGGGAGTTCATAGAGATACTCTATCATTCCACCATCCAGTCACATCCTGCCATATTGCACACTTGGTATAATGATCAGTTTCAAAACTTCCTTTTCCTTCGTGAGCTCCTTGACATCAGCTCCCTTTGACTCACGCCTCCAACATTGTACCTTTCCCCTCACCCCCACCCAAGAAGCCCTTATTCTACTTGATGTCCCTGTAGGTTCATCAATCCTGGGTTTCAGATACCGAAAAACAGAAAGAATTATTCAACACACATTCAAGAGGGTGACCCCAATGATGTAATACATCAGAGATAACCCCCAATATGTATAAAGGAAAAACAAAATAAAACAACTACAGAAAATGCTGAGAACGAGATCAGGCCTAACGTGAATCGGAGAGGGGATCAACTTCCTTCTTATGAACGTTCTATACCAAATAGACTCGTGTCTGCACTAGAAAGGGGCGCTGAGGTTCCTCCTTCAGCAAGACCAAAGAGCCCGTTACCGTGAGTAGATGTTGACCGATGGGGACCCTGTGTGAGAGGGCAGAATTGGGCTCCACAGGAGCCGTTGGTTTCAAAAGTGGATTGTCTGCCCACTCCCCTTTTTTTCTGAGTTGCTTCTAAGTGGATTGGAATCTCCAGCTTTTAAGTTAGCAGCCCCATGAGCACACTGCCCGCCTCCGTCAGGGATTCTCCCTTCTGTGGTTCGGGGACTCTCTGAGAAGGGCTTTCAGGTCCTTCTCCCACTACTGCACATCCGGACCCCTGGCTGTGTAGCAGCCAGCCCAAAGCTCGGGCCCTCAGAGGGATGTGTTGGCTCACACTTCACATTCTGAGTGAACTGTGCACAAGGACTATCTGCAGCCTCTTTGACCTTCTCTTGTCTGTCAACGGTTTAGTGTGGCCTCTGAATTTTAAGACTCATTCAGTGTGTGACTTGGACTTGGTTTGTCAACATAAGCCCATCCATCCTCATCTGAGAGGCTTGGTGCCAGACGTCCCATGGGAAGCAGAACTTTGTGGTTATTTAATACCCCCAGAAGAGTCTCAGAAAACACTGGCAATCAGCTATGTTAGGATTTCCTCAGCAGAAGCATGGACATCCACATGAAACAACACAAAGACTACAGGTCAGGTTTGGTTACCACATAAGCATATGCTGAGCTTGTCAAAAGAAGCTTGACGCTCATTGTCAGGCTTTCAGAAATAGAAACTATTGCTTTCAGAAATAGAAACCTAGAAGAGATCGCAGATCTGTATGCATTTCCTTGTCCTTGTTGGCGAGAGTGTGGGTGGTTCCAGGTAACATGCAAAGAGATGAAGTGAGAGGATTTCAAAAGGCAGTGGGAGGTTTTCCGGCTCACAGATGCTAAACCCTTACGTCCTCTTCACCATATTAATGTCAATTCCTTTTCACAAGGAATTCTTACCACAGAGACACTTGTAAACACACAGCACCGTGAGAAGAGCAGGGTGCCCTATGCCCAGAGGTTGTCAGTGATGAAGGTCACCTTATCTTCTGAGAACAGAAATTAGGAACCTGGGCATTGGGAAGGAGCACCGGTCGGGGTCCTCAGCAGTCACATCAGAATAGCTTCTGGAAAGTGAGGACCAGGTTGGCCAAAAGGTGCAGCCCTGGACTACAAGCCAAATCCAACCAGCAGTATCTGAAGGACAGGCTTGGAGATCTGAGTGAAGTAGGCCACAACAGCGAAACTCGATGAAGCATATTTCTACTCTGCACACATAGGGTCACTCTGAGTTGGCGATGATGTCATGGCAACGGATCACAACAGTGACCTTCCATGAGCTCAGAAAACCACTGAGTCGATTTTGACTGATAGTGACCCTCTATAGGTTTTGTGTGTCTATAAACCTTAACAGGAGCAGACAGCCTCATCTTTCCTCTGAGAAGTAGCTTCTGCATTTGAACCACTGACCTGGAGGTTAGCAATGTTAATGCCTCATGCACAGTGCCACAAGGGCTCTTGCCTATTTTAGGAGGTCAGTTGTGCCATCTCTGCAGCTGAAGAAAGCCGATACAACAGGAGGGTCAAAAACACATCTGGACAGTGAGTAGGGTCCTTATTTGGGTGTTAGAGTATGTAGTTTTACTCACGCACAGAAAATTCCTCACTGCCTGCAACCATTTGATGCTGTAAGCCAGTCTGACAGAAACAAACACATGGCTGACTGGGCCACTTTTCTAGCTGAGGAAACTTGGAAAAGTTACATGCCATCCTGAGTTTCTCCATCTGTAGACAGAGATAGATACTGTTCTAGGGTTGTTGAGGGTATTGTACACTGTAAAGGCCCAGCCCAAGTTCCAGTCCAGGCTTTCACTTTGACAAATGAAAGCTGACTTGTTGGGTTTTTTTAGTCCTTGCTTAATTGTTATCATGAGCATTTCTAAGTTCCACAACAAAATCCCCTCTTGACTTCATTGCTGGCTTTCGATGAAGCTAAGGATGAAGTTAGGATAGTCTATGGAACAGACCAACCACAGAATGTCAATGTCCAAGTCTCAGCAAGGGGGCAAACCTGATTCTCAAAAGCAAGCTGATTCTTAGCTTAGTTGTACAGATCCAAACAGTGCATCCAAAGTTATCAGAACTAGAATTATTTGATGGATTATGTCCACAGCCCATTGTAGTGTCTAGTATTTAGCTCCTTTATTCTCTACGTAATAAAATCCATGGCATTTGTCAAACTTCTTTTGTAATTTGAAAATTAAATTTAGGTCATAAAGTACAATATTGAAAAAAATCAAATTTGTTGGATGATCTAAATTTATAGAAGCTCTTAAGGAGGGACTCTTCTTTAAAATTTATAGTAGCTACGAAGGAGTGTCTCTTATTTAAAGTAGGGCATGGTGATGCTTTTGCATCCATCTCTTTTTCTCATTGTTGAAAACAAGCAAGCAAATAAACAAACACAAAAGCACCCCTCTACTTTGTGTGGCTATGCAGATGTATCCATGTCCATTCCATAGTCCACAACAGAGTTTCTGGAAAACCAAGGCTCATATAGACCTGACCACCTTGGAAAAATGACTGACAAGTGACTTGTTCTGCTCCCTGCCTCCTCCTAGCTCCACAATACATCACCTTGGTACTTTCTTTGTCCTAGCAACCCTAAAGCAACTTCCCCTTCCTGGAAACTTACTTTCCTCTTTACAAAATGTAATGGAGTAAAAAGATAAGAACTTACCAATCAGTGCAGGTGCTGGACGAAGCGGGAGAGGTGGAAGGGTCTACTTGCTCGCGGAAGCTGGGCCTGGCTCTTCGGTTATGAAGGCTGCTGCTGCTGCTGCTCCAGCTCTTCTTATCTAGGGAACAGCTGCTGCTGTTGCCATGGGGATGCTCTGTTTCTCAGGCACCAGGGCCAGGGGGATGGAGTGGTAAAGAGGACTCACCTCCTCTTCACTGCTCTCCACTGCAATAATTGTCCATTAAAATTACAACCCACAGAGCATGCTCTGAGTACTTAGCATGCACTCCAGAGAGATCCAGATGAACCAGCTGCATCTTTTAATCTCCATAACAAACCTATGAAGTCATTTCTTGGCCTGCCTTTGCGAAATATGGAAACTGAGGCACCAAGAAGTTAAGTGACTTGCCCCAAGAGATCCCATTACTAATTTTGGCCATCCACTCTATTTAATTGATTTTTAGCCTTTCATTTGTGCTTTGGGTGAAAGCGTCCAGAGTAAATTGGTTGTTCCATTCAAATATTTGTATACACGTTGCTTCGTGACATTGACTGCAATCCCCTCAACGTGATGGCACTCTGCCCGCTTGCTTTCTGTGCTTCTCCATTCCGTGCCTCCTCCTGTCCTACCCATCTTGCTTCGCTTTCTCCCTGGGTGAATATTGTCCTTTTGATCTTGCATGGTTGCTTGTCTTAGGTGTGCTTACACCTCTGTATTATCGCTCACCTCACAGGTCTATTGTTTGACTGAAAAGTGAGCCCGTGGATGATATCAATTCCAGGCCTGAATATGTCTAAAATGTCTAGGTCATCTTCTTGAGGGCATCATCAGACTCAGGCCATCACCAGGCCTGTAAGCCTGGTATTTGATGTGATTTTGAATTTTGTCCCACATTTTTCTCTCACTCTACTAAGGACCTGCAACTATAATCCCTTTAAGAACTATTAGCAATGGGAGCCAGGCACCATCTAGTTTTTCAGATCTCAGGGTAGTGGTGTCTGAGGTTTAGAGACAGTCCATTGGTCCTTTGCACTGTTTCTGAGTGCCTGTGATTTTCTTCACTTTTCTTTGCTCTGGCTGAGGAGAAAATGATAGTAGCCCCTGAGATGACTATTCACAATCTTTTAAGGCTCTGTCACTACCCACCAAAGTAAGAAGTAGATAATTTTCTTTGTGAATTGCATAGTATCAAATAACCTTGCTGTCCCCCAAGACTATGGACCTCAAAATGTCTGGTTATAACTCCAAAGTTTTCATCACTTTGTCTCTTGTATGCTGTACTGTATTCATGGATATATTTGCAACACATTTAAATACATATGTAGAGATGTCCTCTGTGTGTGTGTTATATATATATATATATTTTTTCCATAGGTGTTTTGCCTTCCCACGCCTTTTAAGCTTGCATGTCTATCCATGTACCTACTTGTAGATTTTTACTATTACCATTATTGGAGGATTGGTCTATAATCGCATTTACCTTTGTTGCATTTCACTCTTGTGCTGTACCCACTGTCTTCCTTGGCCTTAATCATTCGGTGCTGATCTCCACTTTATGGTTTATTGCGTTTCCCTCACTTAATACTCAGAAACAAATTGGATTTAAATTCAGAGAATTGTCACTCACCATTGCTGCTTTTAGAATAAAGTCATGATAAAGAGAACGAGAATAACAGTAATAATCCCTAAAATTTACAAAATGCTTCCCACGTTTCTGGCACTTTCCCAAGCATTATACAAGTATTTATATCCACTGATTTAATGGCCTTGTGGGATAAGCTACTGTCATTGGCCCAATTTTATTGACGAGGAAGCTGAATCACAGTTATTACAAAGTTTTCCCAAGGCGTACCACTAGTAAATAGTAGGCTAGAGTTTGAACCAAGTCATCCTACGCTAGAGTCCATGTTCACAATCACTTTACTGTGCTTCTCGCCAGAGAGTGTTCGGAGAGAAACAGCATCCAATGAAGGGAGCTAGTCTGTGGGTCTAGATTGTGGTGTGGAGCTTAGACATGGTTTGTTTCTCCAAAGGATTCAAGACAAATGAGGCACTATCAAGAATACACATGCGTTCCTTGAAGGCTGGGAACCAAAAGGTCTTTGAGCAAGGGGGAGGTGCAACACTCTGTTAAATGGAGCAGTGTCTGTGTTTCAGGTGAGCTCCCTGGAGGAGAACAATCAATTCTGACCAGAGGAGCGTCACTTTGTGTCACTGATCTGGATATGCAGGGCAAGGATGCCAGCCTGGAGGAATGGATAGGTTTCTGTGCAGACGATAAGGTGTTCAGATCACTGAGGGCACCCAAAAGATCACTCACCGACGATGCCCAAACAGTGGGTTTAGCAGAAGAAGCACGAGTGCTTTCCAGGTCTTGTTTCTTTCCTTCCCGCGGTTGCATGTAGTACAGGGCTTGTGCGGGCCCTAATTGGTTTCAACTACTTGCATTCCATGGTTTAGCGATGCCTTCTTCACATTCCCAGGATTCTATACAATAGGACTGGCATCACAGGGAACTCATCTTTAGTATGACTCCAGAGGAAGGATGTGTTGGGGGCCATCTAACAAACCAGCAAGGGTAGGCTTCCTGGTTTGATGTTCAATTTTCCTTGGCTCTTTTTGCAACCTCCCAGAGGGGGGGGAGGGCTGCCAGAAGGTAAGGAAACAGTTCTTAGAAGCAGCTCTGTGTTCCCAACGCCCTACTTCACTTTCCTATCAGTAGCTTTGTCAGCCAATAGGTTAGCAACATCTTTACTTCCACACTTGAATGGGAAAAGATTAACTTTCTTCCTAACCACTTAGACTTGTTCATTCTGAATTGAAATTAAAGAATTTTAGATAATTGTGGATTCATATGTAATTGTCAGAAATAGTACACAGAGATTTCCTCTACCCTGGAAGCAGTTTTCCCCAATGGTGACATTTGCGAAACTATGTGTACCATATATTATCACAGACAAGACATTGATACTGACACAATCAATGTAAAGAACATTTCCACCGTCTTAATGATACCAAATTATGCATTTTTCCAAAACCATTTTATTGGGAGCTAATGCAATAATATTGTTCCATAGTTCAATGCCATCAAGCAGTATTGTTTAATTTCTACCACAGTCAGTTTCAAAACGTTCTCTTCCTTCTTGAGCTCCTTGGCATCAGCTCTCTTTTACCTCCCCCCTCCCAATATAATACCCCCAAGTGCCCCTTTTTGTACTTGCTGTCTCTATAAGTTCATCAATCTTGGGTTTCATATACTGAAAAACAGAAACACATATAACTAAAATTCAAGAGGGTCACCCCTAGCTCCAATGATAAATACATCTGAGATAAATCCAGTATGAACAATTATTCATTTTTATAGCCATACTCACCTGTATTGTGCACTTACCCATTTCTTAACCTTTAGCAATCATTAACCTGACCTCCACTTCTATACTTTTATTTTTAAAATGTGATGTAAATGAAAGCAACAGTATTTAGCCTTTTAGGATAATCAGTGTTCATACAGCATAATTCATCTGGGTTGCTGTCTACATCAGTAGTGGATAACTATTTTTCATTGTTCAGTGGTATTCTTGGGTAGCGATTATGGTGTGTTGAACCACTCATCTGTTGGAGGACATTGGATTTACTTGTTGCTATTGCATGACTGCTATAAATAAAGCTGCTATGAACATTTGTACCCAAGTTTTGTCTGACCTAGCTTTTTCTTTATCTGGGATAAATGCTGGGGGTGTGATTGTTGGTTCATGTGGCAATAACACAATTAATTTTATATGCAATGATCAAGCTGTTTTCTGAGTGTGCTATTTTACACTCCTGCCAACAACATGTGATCACCCAGTTTCTGCACATCTTCACCAGCATTTAGTGTTGTCACCACTTTTTAAAAGCAGAACTTTTGAGAGGTGTGTTGTGATTTCTTACTGTATTTTTAATGTTTCCTTTCTTTGATGGCTGATGATGTTGGATATCCTTGCATGTGCTTATTTGACACATGCATAACCTATCTGGAGAATATATGTTCTTGTCTTTTAACCATTTTCTAATTGTATATTTTGATTTTTATTATTGAGTTTTAAGATCCTTCATATATTCTACACCCTAATCATTCAACTTGCCTTTTCGACGTCTTAAGATTTTTCATTGGGAAAAGGTTTTTTAAATTTTTATCCAGTTAACTTATTAGTTTTAAAGCACATATATGGCCTTGAGATCGTTGATAAGGAGAGAACGAACTGTGTTAGGCTATTTAAGTTTGTAGATGTTAAAATAAAATATAAACATTTGTCACTTAACTTCATTCCATTGAAAGAGAATTATTTTCACAGAAAGAAGAAAGTATGGATTCCTTACTTTTCCTTTGGATTGATATGGTTCTTTCTCCCAAATTCAGGTCGCTGTTGATATTTTTCTGGGACTTTTGAAACAGACGAATTGATTCTGCTGCCCTTCCTCTTTTAAGGCAGATATAAATGGCAAAAGAGATGGCAGATGGCAATGTAAATCTACACCTTGGGGAGTTCTAAATAACAGCTGTACACGTGCAGAGCTGAAGTTCCAGACCCTTGGCCTACAGCCCTCCCAGTACAAATGGCAGAGGCACTCTGTCAGTGCTATGAGTTGTCGGTCCAAGAGCCCTCTGGTGAGTGGCTGAATCGGCTTCTGGCTCCACTCCTGAGGAATGCCTAATGGTCACGAGCTTTGAATGAGTAGATTTTAACTTTAATCACAAATATTCAACCTTTACGACTAAGAATGATCACAGTGATGAACATTTCCAGGCAATTTATTTCAGTCAATCACCTATAAAAGGTTCACTTGAAAGGTTTGCCTTCCCAAGACAATCAAGGGCAGTCGCTGTGTGGATGGGAGATGGAGCCTATTTCTTAAAGCAGACGTGCCTAGTTTTATCCCAAGGTGATTGCTGAATTTCTGATCACCTCCAACGGTAGCAAAGAGAGGAGAATTATCTCAAATCAACATCGTCAGGTAAATAAGGGACAATATTTTTATTTGAGCAGCTTTGCCTACATTTTGAGTCTTGGTAATTGAGTTAATATATACAAAAATCTTCTATGATTTATTATTCTTGGGGCTGCTAAACCCAAGGTTAACAGTTTGAA